GTTTTTTTTTCTTTTTTTTTTTTTCTTCTTTTTCCTTCTTGTTTGTGTAGTTGTGTTTTGTCCTGTCTTGTGATTGTACTGTTTATGGGTCTGAAAATGCAAAAATACCACAATAAATATAATATACAAAAAAAATAAATCATACACAAAATGCAACCAATTCTTTGAAGGCGTGCATCATCAAAGCAATTCGGATAGGAATATATTCAATAAAACATGATATATACCATCACACAGAAATAAACAGTGTTTAAAGCACATATTTTTCCATGTGAGACAGTTGAACAGCACAAAGTTTCTGAGAGAACAATAAAAACACTGAGGGGCGGCGCTGCCTCCGGTGTGCTGTGACTGACCGAAAAAATCAAACTGAAATCTGCCCTTGTAAAAAGTAAAAATGCTCCCTTAAATCCGATCCAGGAGGCGAATGTTGGCCTGTAAGGAAAAAAATGAATTTCGGACACTGCCAGGACCCACGGATGACATCATCAGCAGGGGCCGAAGGTGATGTCATGCTGAAGGAAACATGTAAAACTTTTATGAGGAGAAGAGATTTAGAGGAAGTGACCTGCTGGATAAGAGGAACGCTCAAAAACAGCGCGGGCCGGACAGTGAGGTGTGTGTATGTGTGTGAGGTTTACGGGCTGTTTTAGCGGCTCTCGCGGGTCGGCACTCGAGGCTCTGTTTTTTTACAGGATGAATCAGTGTTTCCACGGCGATATCTGGCAGTGAGGTCACCGCGGACTCTGCTTCCCCTCACTGCCGTCGCCAAGCATGAGGTCATACAGGTATGTCGCCACGGCAACCGTAACCCCCCTTAACCTCACTTAAATAGTGAAGACACAAAAACACACACAGAGCAGCTCAACAAACACAGACAAAACAAGAGCACAAATGTAAAACAAGTTCTTTATATATATATATATATTTTTTTTTTTTTGCATCACCAGAAGAATTGCTGTTTATAAGTATGTTTTGGTCTAATATAAAATTCTCTCAGCTTTCTAATGACTATAAAAGTCTTTAAATTATTTTTTAACTGTTTTTACAACAACCTCTCAGCGGACAATACTGTGAAAGCAGTCAGAGGTCAAAGGTCAAATGTAACCCCCGGCCACACTGAGATGTTTGTCTTCACATGCGCTGACAGACGGATGGTTATAGTTCATGACGCAGACGCAGGTCTCAGAGTCAACATGAAACGCTTTTCTCAAACCAGTTTACTTCCATAACGAGATGAACGGATATTAAAAGACACAGGACAGGATTTAATTTGATTTGTATAACTATTGTACGACGACTGAATTTTTTAGATTAAACTATTATGAAATTAAAATGTTGGTCGGTTTCATTATAGTAACAGATTTAAATGTCAGTTGGTCTCGTTTTATTAGAGATTTAAACGCTGGGAAGTTTCCTTCGATTAGAGATTTATACGTCGGTCGGTTGTGCACTTTTAAAAGATTTTTTTGATTCGAAGATTTAAATGTCACTCAGTTTTGTTCGATTATATTTAATTGATGGTTGTTTTTTCGTTTAAGAGATTTAGATGTCAGACAGTTTTGTTCCATTAAGATATTTAAATACTAGTCGGTTTTGTTCAAAGTGACAGTAAGTGATTATCAAAAATAAAACAAAAAATTAAGATTGGATGTCTCAGGTGAAAAGTCTGAAAAAAATTCAATTTTGATGAAAGTTTATTTACAAAAACTGTCTTATTGAAAACTAACATTTTGAAATAATTCTTCAAAATCAGAAAACACAGTAAAACACATAAAACGCGGTCAAATAAAATGCTCTCTCTCTATATATGCAATCCTAATCTAAATGAATGCCACTGTGAAACAAAAACAAACACAAATGTGACCCTGGAGCACAAAACCAGTCATAAGGGTCAATTTTTCAAAATTGAGATTTATGCATCATCTGAAATCTGAATAAATAAGCTTTCCATTGATGTATGGTTTGTTAGGATAGAACAATATTTGGTCGAGATACAACTATTTGAAAATCTGGAATCTGAGGGTGCAAAAAAATCTAAATATTGAGAAAATCATCTTTAAAGTTGTTCAAATGAAGTTCTTAGCAATGCATATTACTAATCAAAAATTAAGTTTTGATATATTTACGGTAGGACATTTACAAAATATCTTCATGGAACATGATCTTTACTTAATATCCTAATGATTTTTGGCATAAAAGAAAAATGTATCATTTTGACCCATACAATGTATTGTTGGCTATTGCTACAAATATCCCCCAGCGACTTAACACTGCGTTTGTGCTCCAGAGTCACATATAACAAAGCTGCTTCTGTGTGCAAATATGAAAAGCGAAATGTTAAAGCATCTGAATCCCCAGCTGTTCCAATAATCCCTTTCATTTAATCCCGGAATTCCAGTCTCAGGAATTCTGACTCATGGCTTTTTTATCCGCACTCGGACTCTCTGTCCTTCATTTACTCTCTCTGCCTCTCATTTTGTCCCGACATGCTCCAGCAGTCCCAGGATCCCACCTGGCTGCATCAGCGCTGGTAACATGATCTTTACTTAATATCCTAATGATTTTTGGCATAAAAGAAAAATGTATAATTTTGACCCATACAATGTATTTTTGGCTATTGCTACAAATATACCCCAGCGACTTAACACTGCTTTTGTGCTCCAGAGTCACATATAACAAAGCTGCTTCTGTGTGCAAATATGAAAAGTGAAATGTTAAAGCATCTGAATCCCCAGCTGTTCCAATAATCCCTTTCATTTAATCCCGGAATTCCAGTCTCAGGAATTCTGACTCATGGCTTTTTTATCCGCACTCGGACTCTCTGTCCTTCATTTACTCTCTCTGCCTCTCATTTTGTCCCGACATGCTCCAGCAGTCCCAGGATCCCACCTGGCTGCATCAGCGCTGGTCATTATCCAGCGACTCCGGCGGGACGAGGGCCGCATTCCTGCCATTCCACCGCAAACCGCCTCTAATGGGCTCCCAGCGGATAAAGTGTCTGCTGTACAGTGAGGAATAAACGGCCTACTGTAGCTAGAGATGAGATTAGAGCCCATAGAGATGGCAAGCGCTCCTGCTGACTCACTGAGATCTGCTGCAAACTCACACCAGCAGCTACTGAGGGACTATTCAATAATACATGATGGGAAAAACATTTTGCCCACCAGCAATGCAATGCAATGCAATAAAAATAAATAAATAAATAAAATAAAACAAAACAATTCAGACCAAAAGCTGAACACTCGAGAATAATAAAATAAAATGAAAAATAAAAAATTAACTAAAATAATTTGATACTATAAATAATAAAACAGAATATAAAAAAATTTTGAAAATAATAATAAAAGAAAAAAATCTGACCAAAAGATCAATAGCCAAAAAGAATAATAAAAAATAGAATAATTTATAATACTATAAATAAAAGAAAAATAAGAATATATGAAAAAAAAAAATAGATAAAAAAAACAATAATAAAAGAAGAAAAATTTAGACCAAGAAGTTTATAAAAATTAAACTATAAATAAAAGTAAGAATATAAACAATATGCTCACATGAGCAGCTGAGAGTGTAAATGATTCCATTACAATGAAATAATAAATGTTGTGTCCTAAACTAGGTGGAAATAATATTTTGCACAAATAAAATAAAATAATAAAATAAAATAAAAATCAGACCAAAAGCTGAATGCTCAAAAAATAAATAAATATAATGAAAAACAAAAAAATTATTTATAATACATAAATAAAAATAATATTAAAACAATACAAAACAATAATAATACAATAAGAAAAATTCTGACTAAAAGTGAAGTCAAAAAGTATAAAATAAAAAATACAACAATTTATAACACTATAAATAAAAGATGGAAAATAAAATAATTGCAGTAAAAAATAATAATTAAAGAAGACAAATTTGGTGAAAAAGGTCAAATCAAAAATAATAAATAACACTATAAACAATAAAAGGAATATAAAAACAATTATGTACAAATAGGAATTTGAACAGTCAACAAGAATGAAACCAAATAAATAAAAAACTAAAATAACATATTTTAAACAATAATAGAATATACAAGCTATTATATAAAACATAATAATAAAAGAAGAACTTAGACCAAAAGCCGAACAGTTCTTGCTGCATTCACACAAAAACACTGGAAAAAATTAAGCATAATGCTAATTGCGAAAGAAAGCAGAAACATCAAGGAAAGAGCTGCAGAAAAGAGAGAGACGTGTACTAAAACAAAGGGCAGGAGGTTATCAGCGCGCAGGAATGTAAATGTGATTGGCGAGGAGAAGCAGAGCTCAGATGAGCAGGAATAAGATCTGCGGGGTTTGACGTCACACACACTGCGGTCACGCCGCTAAACACACACTCAATGAAACGCATGATTCTAAACATCTCTAGACATGAAATGAACTGAAAACTGCTTGCTAAGATAACATCCCACGCTTTCATGCTTGTGTTCTCGTTTAAGAGTGAACGAGTGAATATGATTGGTGTTTTAGCGCAGCTGCTCAAACTAATGAGGCGCGTTTAATGTTTGAAATAAGTGTTCACGGTCAGTAGAGCGTCCATCACATGATCAACAGAGCTCACAAATGTTCCCGAGATCCAAGAATCCAAATGCAAAGCACCTTAAAACAACCTGAAATTGTCTTAGCGCCCACTCAGACCACCCCAGAAACCCTCCAGAACCAAAGAATTCAAACCAGAAGCTGAATAGTCACAAATAATAAAATAAATCATTTACAATACCACAGACAATAAGAGAACAAAAACAATTCTATAAAAATAATAAAAGTAGAAAACTTCACACCACAATGTGAAGTCAAAAAGATACAAAAATAAAAAATAAAAAATTAAGGTTTTTAAATACTA